CAGCTCCAAATTTGGAAGGTGAGGGACTGCTCATATCCAAGCAGTCCATCATCACTGAAGGGGTGAGCAGGTCAGCATCAGATTTACCTGAGAGAGAACAGCCATGCTGAATGGAGCTGACTACAAAGAAGGGTTATCTACACAGACCATGGCTGCCATGAACCCCTGACTCAGCCATGTCAGTCAGTCACTCTGACATCGGTCAAGTCAGAGTGGCCTTAAGTGCAGAGATCTGTAATGAGAACTGGCCTTGTCACAGAACAGCCCATGGAAGAAAAGGAAGCAGTAGAATGGAAGGCAGAGCTGCTCTGTGGCCTGTCACAGGTGGCTGCTTGCTGCCCTCTAGGGTGTATTTGGACTCCATTCTGGGGTGTATGTTGGTAGCAGTTGTGAGATAGGGTGATAGATTCAGCCAGGTGTCAGGGCACCACTCTCTGTGGACAGACAGTCCCTGAGGTCCTAATGATCTTTGGCTGACCTCTTAGGGGAAGGTGTCCAGGCCTTGTGAGAAGAGAGAGGGCATCAGTAGAGCCCTGTTATTTACTCCACTGAGGGTTACTAATAGTCCCTAACCAGCTACACACAGGAGGCCCCTAGAGAGGGGGACAAAAGCTATCTTACACAGAGGCGGGGTGACATAGACCTGATACTCTTGGTGCTGGGGTTTCAGAGTGGCACATGGAGAGTAAGCTGGAAGACGGACCTCGTTGGGCACCAGGGAAGAGCTGTGGCTGAGGGCAGGCAGGATAGTATCTGGGATCAAGATCTGGGAGTCACACGGTGCTCAGGTTTATTGGGACAGCCCTAACTAAGCCTGCTTCTCCAAACAGTCTACAAGGAGCACAAAGGTGGGGAAATATAAAAATGTGGGCCAAGTGGCTGGGGAGATTGTTCAATCAGAAAAGTACTTGCTGTACAAGTATGAAAGGACCCGAGTTTGATCCCCAAAACCCATCTAAAAAGATAGGCACATTTGTAATGCCCGCACTGGGGAGGTAGAGACAGCTGGATCATCTGGGTTCACTGGCCAGCCTAACTGGCAAACTCAGTGCCATTGTCTCAGAAAATAAGATGGGCAGCTGCTGAGATACTGTAATTGACCCCGACCTTGACAAGCACATACACACACGGAACCCATACACACAGTTATGAATGCACACTTACACACACACACACACACACACACACACACACACACACACACACACACACACACACACACACACATTAGTTGAGCCAAATACATTTCAGGTCATTTTTTTCTATAACATACAATTCTTCCAGGTAAGCAAACACAAGACAGTCTCCCAGGCAGTACCTTCTTAAATCCCTGCTCACTGTGTTCTGGTTTCTTCTAGAAAGTGCTGTGAAGCCCAGAGAAGTTGCTCTTGTTCTTGTATCCCTGGACCTCAGGAGCCTGAGCTGTGTGCTGGGTCTGGATGGCCCACCTGCTTGATTTTCCAGTGCAAGGAGTATCCAAGGTGTTCACATGTTGCCATGTGAAGGACTCTGAGCCATTCAAAGTCAAACTGTATGGTAGGGGTACAGCTCAGCAACAGAGCACTCAGCTAGCATACCTTTGGTTCTATCTCCAGGAGCAAGGAGAGGAAAAACAACAACAACAACAACAAAAAAGAAAGTTAAACGTGTAGCAGGTCATAGCCTGAAACTAACGGCTGTGATAAGCAACACCCATGATTTGTGTACTTCAGACGCTATTGGAAACCTGAACCCCACCTGGCCGAGGGGCCCAGAAGCTTAAGGGACCTCCAGCATCTGGGTCAAGGGCCTTCCCATGAGCAGGTTTCCTGTAAATGCTGTTGGATACGGGTCAAGGCTGACTCTGTGGGAGATGAAAAACCACAGCCTCCCTGGGGAGTCCCCTGGGCCTCCCACTCACCCCATACACCAGGAAAGCTTGGTTTCTGCTTGAGTGGTTGTCTCCACAGGAGGGGCCCCAAGTTTTCCCCTTCTGCTGCCCCTGCTCGCTGGGGTTCTGTCCCTGTCTCTGCTGTACCTGTGGTCCTGCGGTCCCTCTGAAGCTCTGGACACGGCTGGGGCACAGTATACAGGACTGCCCTCTGGAAATTACCCTACAGTTTGTGCTTCAGAAAAACCTAGAGGGCATCAGGGGGCAGGGCTGGGAGGCTTCACATGAAGGCTGGGCCTTAGGGCTGCAGGAGCTAGCCTCCTGGGGAAAGGGCCAACAAAGTCACAAGCCCTGGACTGAACATGAGCTGAGCCAGAAGAGGGTTTGCAAAAGTATGTCAGAAGGACCACTGTGAACAGAAAGAAGTGGCCAGGTGGAGATGTTGGCCAGAAGGGTGGCCCAAAGGTGAGAGCGGAAACAGGGCAATGTCCCTTCCTCCAGTGCCCTCTCTCCCAGTGTCCCGTGGCTTTTTGGGTTAGGTTGCCCCATCCTTGGCTTTGGCCCACTGACCATGTGCAGGTCTGGCCGTGATCCCCAACTGGAGCAATGAGGAGGTACCAAAAGGGAGTTGCAATGTCTGAGCCTCCCCCTCCCCCCGCACACCCTTGCCCCCACACCCCATGTGCGGGCCTGAACAACCACTCTGCTGCCTGACGGATCCTGCAATGTTTCCCAGGCAACTGTCTCATACAGCCTGTCTGCCTGGCACTCCCACACCCCATAAATGCCGCCGCGCCTGGCTCCAGGCAGCCTTGCCTGCTTGGCATCTACAGGCCAGCAGGTGTGGAGAACGTAGTCCGCTGCCTGGCTGTGTCATAAGGCCACTTAGGCAGAGAAGGCAGCCCAGGCCTTTTGGACATCCTCATACAGCCAGTGAGTATTGCTGGGATACCCCACGTAGATGTCCTGGTGTTCTGCCACACAGTAAGATTGAGGATAGCTGAGTGCCATGACCATGCACCCAGGCACGCCTGCCTACCACAGGTCCCTCTTGAAAAGTAGAGCTTGTGTTCCTTTCCTGGCTTGGGCAGATGCTTTCATGATCCATTTGTCAGGTAAATTGATGGTAAACCCAGTTTCCAAGAAGGCAAAGGGAGTATAGGGAGCCAAGCAGGACTTGGACTACCCCAACAGCTGAAGACTGGGGTCTGATGGACAGATTCACCTAGTCCAGCAGCTAAAAAGTTCCTGTTGGTGGCAGAGATCAATCATGGGACCAGCCTTGCTAGTGAGAAGTTAGGACCCTGTTAATATCACCCTGAGAAAACACCAACCTGGCTGACAGACCCTCTTCATTTCTGAGACTAGCTTTGGAGGTGGAGGGAGGGTAGACCCAAAAAATATGGTCTAATGGTGACAAAGCCCAAGAGAAGGAGGTGGCCCCCAACCTGGAGCACTCTGTGGATGCAGGAGGCCTCATTGCTTTCCACACTGGAGTACACTCTGCTTTCCCTATGTGTCTCCTCCAAAGGACTGAAATATTCCTTTGTTGTTTCTGCAGTGCAAGGGTCAGTCCCAACCAGAGTTTATTTTCCAATAAAGTTAATTCCTTGTCACCACAGCACATGGCTCTAGGAGAGTGGATCTTTTCATCAAGTTCAACTTCTACTTTTTAATTATTATTTTTTAGAAGCCCCTCCCCTCTGCGGTGTGAGGGTGTGTGGCGATCGGAGGACAGCCTCTGCTCCTGGTCCTCACTGTCCACCTTGTTCGAGACAGTCTCTTGTTTGGCACTGTGTACATGAGGCTAGCTGGCCCAAAAGCGTCAGGGGGTTCTTCTGTCCCTGTCCCCACCTCACAGCAGCACTGGGATTACATACTCATGCTGCCATGCCTGGCTTCAAGTGTGTTTTGAGAACGAAACTAGGGTTCTCATCCTACACAACGAGCACTTTACCCACCACACCATCTCCCCAGCCCAAATCCAACTTTTTGTTTTATTTTTTGAGACAGAGTCTTTCTACATAGCCCTGGCTGTTCTGGAACTCACTCTGTAGACCAGGCTAGCCCTGAACTCACAGAGATCCGCCCGCTTTTGCTTCCCGAGTGCTGGGATTACACGTGCGCCACCACCGCCCAAATTCAACTTTTAAAGCCGTTGTGATAATACTTTGCAGACAGCTGGCCTGTTGCAAGGTAGGTTTGTTGGGGTTGCCCATCACCCCTATTTCTACCTCTTAAGGTTCTAAAAATGGTTGGATTGGGCCTAGAGAGATGACTTAGTGGTGAAGAGCACTTGCCACTCTTGCAAAGAACTCAGGTTCATTTCCCAGCACCCACATGGTAGCTTGTAGGGCAGCTACCCACCAACCCCACAGTTCCCCAGAGTTTTCTTGAGTGAGAGCAGCAGGAAATATTAGTTAGAAGGATTTAGATTGCGGAGATAAACAGATAGAAAATACTGGATAGCCTTGAGAGGGCCTGGAACCTATTCCAACGGGCCCTGACTGTCTCTGCCCTAGGGTATTTATGGAAATGCCAAGGGGTGAAGCAAAAGACCTCTCCCCAGTGCAGACAAGTGCCGACCAATCTCAGACACCTGCACTCAGGCCTGTGGTCCTAATCATCCTCTCTATGCAGATCTGCTGGGCAAAGCCACTAGGAACCTGAAAATGGGCTTCCACAGTAGCTCACAACTAACTCCAGTTCTAGTGGATCCAAGACCTTCTTCCCACCTCTGTGGGCACCAGACACACTTGGCATACACAAGGCCTCTGGCCTGGCACCCTCCTGGTGGCAATGAGGGAAGAGAGACAATCCTGAGAATGAAGCGAAGTCCCAGAAGAACAGCATTCACACTTGCTTGAGAGTCCTAAGCCTAGAGAACTTGTGTTCTGCAGTTGGCGCAGACTTTCTTGGGCTCAGTGCCCCTTTCTTTTTTTTTTTTTTTTTTTTTTTTTTTGGTTTTTCGAGACAGGGTTTCTCTGTGTAGCTTTGCGCCTCTCCTGGAACTCACTTGGTAGTCCAGGCTGGCCTCGAACTCACAGAGATCCGCCTGGCTCTGCCTCCCGAGTGCTGGGATTAAAGGCGTGCGCCACCACCGCCCGGCCAGTGCCCCTTTCTTACGACAGCCAAAAGATAATGGAATATCCTCACGTTCTGTGCCCTAAGAGCATGCACCTCCTTAGCCTCAAGGTACTTGAAGAGAGAACTCCTTCAGGAGCCCACAGCTTTGGAGTAAGTCTGCCTGGGTAGCCACACAGGCTCTGGCTCTGCTTCACTCTGACCTCTGGGGTCAAGTGGCTATAGCACCTGTATAGGCAGTCAGGGCATCTGACCTCTGTAGAGGAGGGGTACGGGAGAGGCAGGTATGCTGGAGATCTCAGGAAAGTCCCTGTGCTCTGGTTTTAGCATGTGGCTGAACTGAGCCTTCTTGCTCACACAGGGCCCTTTCAGCACTTGGCTAGGCACCCTCCTCAGGCCGTCCTCCTGCTTTGGAGTTGGTGCCAGACCTCCTAGAGTCCTCAAGGTCCCCTGCAAAAATACAGTTATACTTTCAGCAAAAGCCCAGGAGCCAGGCCAGTGGAGACTAGGGACAGGCCGATTGGGAGTGTTCCATCAGTAAGCTCTTCTTAGCTCTGGGACTCATCACAACTGCCTTCCCACCTGGGTGGCCCAGTCCCAGGTCACCCCTGACAGTGCAGCATGAGGCTACCCCACCCTGGCAGCTCCTGCATGGGCAGCTCCTTGGCTGCACCTTTGGCCATCACTCTGGGTTCTTCAGCCTAGGACAGGCAGGTTCCCAAGATGGCCACTCTCCAAAAGACCTCAAGGCAGAACAGACCCTGGTGTGTGCTCTGGGATCCTTTGGAGATTAAACTTCTCATCCTCTTCAGGTCTGCAGACATAAAAGACAATCTCAGTCCAGAATCCATCCCTAGACCCTGGCCTGGGCACAACTACCAGGCTGGACCACACACGGTGGGGGTGACCTCGCCTAGGGATGAGAGGCAAGGTTCTGACGGGAGGAGGACCTAGGAAGAGGGGTCAGGGAGTCAGATGGTTGCAGGACGGTCTTTTGAAACAGCCCTGACCCCTGGGGGCTGTGGAGAAATAGAAAGCCACTAGTGAACGCCGCCAATGCATATACTAAAGTGCCTGGGCGTCTGCTGCCACCAAGTGACGGGCTGCAGGATTGCAGGGCGCGTTTATTGGCTAGACAGGAAGCACGGGTTTCTGAGCTTCGTCCCCTGGGCTTTGCGGTTTCGTTCCTCTCTTTGGTAGAGAAACCCAGTTCCTCCTATAAGAAGAAAATGGTGCAAAGTTGGATTTGGAAGTCCTGCCCATGGGGACATCCTGGGAAAGGCTGAAGAACTGGAAACTGAGGCAGAGCATTGTCTAGTACCGCTGGGAGGTGGCATTGGCAGGGCAAGCCTGACAGCTAATCTGCACGTGTTAACAGAAGGGAACACAGGCTCCAGAGCTGCCTGCACAGGGTCGGGTGGGCCCAGTCTCGTACCCCTGAAAGCCTCTCCCTCAAGGCGGCAGCCTAGTGTCCCCAAAGATTAGGATCCCGGCGCCTTAGTTTTCAAGTGTCACAAAGGGGAGATGGCACTTGGCAGAGTGGGTAGTGGGGGTCTGGAGGCCACGGGAGCTGGTCCGGGTCGGAGGGCGGGTCGGGTGGTATGTCTCACTTCCGCCGGACGCTCTTGGGAGAAGGATGGAGGAGGAGCAGAGGCTGCGGGGGAGGCTGAGCCGCCGCAGGCCGCCCGCAGGGGGCGGGTGAGGCGGGATGGAACGGAGAGGGTGGGGCGCTGGGGGCTTGGGTAGACGGTGGGGCCGCGGGCAGACAATGGGGGTACCTCGACTTTCCCGTCTAGGTGCGGGGCTCCTCGCACACTTGCACCCCGCAACTGTGAGGCCTGCTACCAGAAAGGCTCCGCCTTTCTCCGGGCGCGGTCGCTTCTTCCGCCCCAACCCTGCGGTTTCCCCCACCTCCTCCACCCCTTTCCGTCTCTATCTAGCCTCTCCCTGTTCAGCCCCATGCTCCATTGTTCCCTAGAGCCCACACTTACCCTCCAACGTGAACTGCACGCTTAATCCCTTACTTCGGGCTCCCTCCCTCCCTTACTCCACTGTCCCCCGGAGTCTTGCTGCCCCTCACTCTAGAGCCCCTTGTGACCTCCCTTGTGAGACCTCTTTCTCGGGACACTCTACCATGGATCCACGGGCTGACACTTCCTATGCTTCCCAGGGCCCCCAGCTGCCGCCCCTGGTTTCTCATGGAGGGCAGTAAGAGTGAGCCATGGGCTGCTCTGCTGCGTAGCACTGTGAGCGGGGACGTGGATTTGACCCCGAACGGTCAGCCGCTGCCACCACTGCCTGCTTTTTCCAGCCAGGTGTGTCCAGAAGCACTAATGGGGAATGGCCTGGGAGAGGATTCCCCGGGGCGCTGGGGGAGGTGCTGGTGTTGGTGGCTGTTATCTCATGGGCATCTGCCTTTTAGGAGTCTCTGCCTGACCCGGAGCCTACTGTGCCCCCTGAGGTCTTCACTGTGGGATCCAAGACTTTTTCCTGGACGCCTTTTCCACCTGCCCTTGGTGGCTCTGCAAACTCCTACCAGTTGTTCCATGGGCCTGGAGGCTCCGTGGGGTCACCTATTCCATCCTTGAAAAGATGTCCTGCACCAGATTCCCGTCAGACTCCCAGCCCCCAAGAGTGTGTGTCTGTGCAGAGTACGCCTGTGTTGCTGAGCTGCCCATTGTGCCAGAAGGCATTTGATCCGACGTGAGTTTTCCATCCCAGACCTCAGGCTTAAGACTTAGTCCGCTGTAAAACCTCCTGCTTGGGAGGCTAAGACTTGTTAGGAAAAGGAGTCTTTATTTGTTGTTGTTGTTTTGAGACAGGGTTTCTCTGTGTAGCACCGGCTGTCCTGGAATTTGCTCTGTACATCCGGCTAGCCTCAAACTCACAGAGATCTGCCTGCTTCTGCCTCCCAAGTTCTGGGATTAAAGGCATGGACCACTACTGACTGGTTTATTAACTAATATTTAAATTAAAATATATGTGTGCGTGTGCGCGCGCGCGCGTGTGTGTATGTGGGCACGTACCATGGCACACATGCATGTGGAGGTCAGAGGAAAACTTGAAGTCTGTTCTCACCTTTCACCATATGAATCCTAGGGATTGAATTTAGGTACTCAGGATCGGCAACAGGTACCTTTACTTGATGAGCCGTCTTGCTAGCCTTTTTTTTTTTTTGACTCTCAGTGATGCTCTTGCTTCGGCCTCCCATGTGCTGGGATTTCAAGACTGCACCACCACATTTGGTTAGCTTTGGCTACTTAAAATGACACAGGAACTTGTAGAACTTGAGCCCACTGTTGCTGGGCTCAAGGGCAGTATGTTTTAGATGGTGTGTAGCTGGGTGCACATGTATCCTACGTGTTGAAGTAGAAATGGCCTGGGGAGGGCATGGATTCTCCAAAGTTAGCTGCTAAGATGACAGAACCAGAAGTGAAGCACAGAGTTAGCCTGATTAAATGGTTACCAGAGGATAACACAGCTGGAGCCCTAGTTCAGAGCCCAACAGGCCCCTCCAAATATTGTTTAAAAGAATTTGTGCTGAGCTGGGAGTGGAGGTCCACACCTCTAATCTCAGCACTCAGGAGGCAGAATCTGTGAGTTTGAGGCCAGGCTAGTCTACATAGTGAGTTCTAGAACAGCCAGTGCTATGTAGGCCCTGTCTCAAAACAAAACAAAACAAAATGTACTTATTATTGTTTGTGTGATATATGTATATGTTCATGTAGGTTTGTGTACAGAGGTACCCATGCATGTGGAGGCCCGGTCAAGTGTTTTTCTTGATCACTTCCCACCTTATGTTTTGAGACAGAGTCTCTCACTGAACCAAACATTGATTTGGCTAGGCTGGCTGACCAATGAGCTCCAGGGATCCAACCGTCTCTCTGGCCACCTCCAGTGCATGGGTTACATATGCATACCGCCAGTGCTTGCCTTTTCTGTGGGTAATGTTTGCACAGCAGGAACAATGGAACCATTTATCAATGGAACCTTTTCCCAAGCCTCCAAAATGTGCCTTTTTATCAGAATCAAGCCTTTATGAATTTGAGAGGAGCCCCAATCCCAACCCTCAGCAACAACTCTCTCTACTCATAGCCACATAGCTCAGACAAAGAGATGTTGAGTGTGGGCTGGCTTGAGTGAGGTTGTGGATGTCCCCAAGTGGGGTCCTGTTTATGTGACCTTGAATGTAAAGTTGACATTTCCATGCTTCTCACCTATCAAGAGACCCAGGGGCAGAAGCTGGGGTTGGGAATCCTTTTGGGAAATTCAGTTTTGCAGAGCCCATAAGATCTTGCCAGGATTCCCACTCCCCTCTTGTTCCAGGGGCTTTTTGTGCTGTCCTTGCATTTCTAGACAGTTGAAGAAAAGACTCCTGAAGACAGGGTTATTGAAGATGGAAGCTCTGCCCGTTGGGCGCCTTTCAAGTGGTTGTATCAGACTTGGCAAAGTGCCTTTACTTTTCCAAAGTAGGTATCAGCAAGGTAGGCTTAAGTCTGCAGTGACGTGTTCTTCATTGAACTGTAGAGGAGCGAGGATGTATTGGCCAGACTCACCCCTTGAGGTGGCAGCCACATCATCAGGCTGCCCGGGGGGAACTCTTTCCATGCCCTTAAAGGAGCTCCCTTTCATTCCTTCAACAAGGCAGGATGTTCTGGGTCTTAGATGGCAGGGATGTTGTCATGAAAGGCAAGACCCAAGCAGGGAGGCAGACTGGCCTTGGGCGGGTCAGTTTGGCAGCTAGACTCAGGCTGAGCTGTCAGTATTGTCCTCTGAGGGCAGTGTGTGCAAACATTGCTGCCCACCCAAGCTGGTACAGGTGAGCTGGGGGTGCCCCTCAGGGAGGACCACACCACTCCTTCTTTCCTTTAGCACCATCTGAGCCCGGTGGAGCACTGTTTGGGATTCCTAAATGTGACAGGTACTAGATACTAGGCTGACATACAGTGTTCTTTGTTCCTAGAAGATCTTGCTGCTATATTCAAATACTTCATACAGATGTCTCTCGCTACTGGGGACTGAGTCCAGTGCTCCCAGTGTACCAGTCTGTAGATGCTCCTCTTTTTTTTCCTTTGGTTTTTCAAGACAGGGTTTCTCTGTGTAACAGTCCTGGCTGTCCTGGAACACTCTCTTTTTGGACCAGGCTGGCCTCGAACTCACTGAGATCCACTTGCCTCTGCCTCCCAAGTGCTGGGATTAAAGGCGTGTGCCACCACCGCCTGGCTTGTCTTTTTTTTTTTTTTTTTTTTTTACATAAAACAGTTGTTACTGGTCTAGAGAGATTTCTTAGTGGTTGGGAGCACTGACTGCTTTTCCAGAGGACCCGGGTTCAATTCCTAACACCCACATGGCAGCTCAAGGCTGTCTGTGATTCCAGTTCCGGGGACCCGACACCCATGGCAAAAACACCAATGCACATAAAATGAAAATAAATTAAAAAAAACCAGTTGTTACTTCATAAACCCTACATATCTAGGTGGTTTTATGTAAGCAACTGTTACTCTATATTGCTTAGGGAATAATGACAAGGGCAAGTCTGTTTACATTTAGTACAGTCACCAATTTTTAAAGTACTTTTTATCTGTGGTTGTTTGAATCTGCAGATGTAGGACCCACAGATAGGGAAACTGCTGTGTTTTCCGATATCTATGTGTCAGATAGGCAACTGGTGAGACAGTCCATTAGCTGGGGATGCCAAAACCCTTCCTTGGTCTTTATTGATACAGTGATACCTGGTGGTTGTGATTGTTTCCCTGTCTGCCTCTCTCTCTCTCTCTCTCTCTCTCTCTCTCTCTCTCTCTCTCTCTCTCTCTCTCGTGTGTGTGTGTGTGTGTGTGTGTGTGTGTGTATGTATGTATGTGTTCCTGCCCTTTATTTTAATATGTAACCTAGGCCTTGAACATCTGAGGCCAAACAGTCTTCTTGCTCAGCCTTCAGAGTAGCTGAGATGACAGGTGTGTGCCATGCCTAGCTCATGGTTGTGACTCTAATAGTTTATTCATATTCAGATTCTGGGGCTGAAGTCCCCGAATCCATGTTGGTTAGCCATAGCCAGGGCTCAACTGTGTCTGGGAGTTAGCAGAAGCCTGGCAGTGAAATGAGTTCTACAGAAACAGCTCTTTTGTTGTGTGATGGTGTCTGGAGGAATCCCTGAGAACCCACTTGAGGGATGCTGCCTGAAAACTCCCAACAGATGGCCGAGATCCATACAGAACCTGAGGTGTCTTACAGAAAGCTGGGGGGAGGGAAGTGTTAATACCTTGGTTAGATTGGCTAAGGGGTTCTCAAGGACTTCAGAGACCATTTGTTGGGGACTGCCAAGTTAGAGAGCCATTGAAAATCACAGGACCTGGGAATCAAGTGAGGGGCTTTGCTGTCCATTCTCTGTTGTAAATCTTAGGGGAGTTCTGTTCCCATTCTGGTCATTGACCTGGGTGTGGGTTAACTAGGATGCAGTGAACAAGCCAAGGCCTAGGATGCCTGGGAGGGCAGGTAATGGGCATCTGGTTGGTCAGCAGGATGTCCAGAGGATTCTCAGGACTTGTGGGTTTCACCTCAGGACTTCTCTTGTTAAGTTCACCAGCCTTAGCACATACAAGGTGAGCTGGCTGCTGGGAGAGACACAGGCCATTGTGATAAGTCACAGGGGTTCGGGGTTTGTTCTTCATTAGGAGATGGCGGCCCTGATCTAACAGGCTCTGATGGGACTGTCTGACATTGGTCTGGAGAAGGGGACTCACTGGTCATGTGCATTGGGTTCAGGAGCTATAGGGAGTGACAAAAGGCAGCGTCTGAGGGAGAAGTAGTGCTTGGTGGATTGCTGTCTGAGGATGGAAGGCTGTGGGGTGCCAGAAAGGAAGCAGGGCCCTGTGAGCAGAGGAGACCAATGTTTGCCAGTCTCCTCCTGGTGGTGAAATGTAAGAGATGGCCACTCTCATAGGTTGGTGGCCACATGGCCTCCATCAAGTCCTGGGCTGCTGAGCCTTGCCCTGGCAGCTCTACTGACCGCTCTGGCTAGGTCACCTCCTCACCTCCTCCCTCTGATGGCCGGGTGAAGTTAGGTGGAAGACCAGTCCATGCACTACCCTTGTTCTCTGGCTGTGATACCCTTCCCAGGGCCATTGGCACAGGACTCTTGAGGTACAGGTGCTATGTGGGCATTCCAGAAATGTAGGGCCAGAGGCCAGATGACTGAATCTTACATGATGGGGCTTGGTCTTTCCACATCAAGAAAACATCCCCTCTCTGAGTTTGAGGCCAGCCTGGTCAACATAGTGAGTTTCAAGACAGCCAGGGCTATATAGGAGACCCTCTCTGTCAAACAAACAAACAGACAACCTCCCACAACTCCCCCAAAGCAAGCATTCCCTCCTGGGTGTGATGTTTGCCTCTTGGAGGATGGTAGGTGGCTGTCCTGGAGTAACTCTTACCTTCATGTGTATTTCTTCTGGGCAGCCTAGTTATTGGACTTTCATGAGAACTGCCCTTTGTACTGGCTGATGGACGTACCTGATAGGCTTGTCCATCCCATAAGCCTGACCTGCTATAGACAGGCGCTGGGCTTGAGGAGGGCCTGCACTGGATCTCTAGAGCCAAGAAGCTCTAGCTTCCCTGCTGATCTCTGCCTGAGATGGGCTTTTTGTTTTTGTTTTTTGAAACATGGTCTCACTACGTAGCCCTGGCTGTCCTGGAACTCACTATGTAGACCAGGCTGGCTTTGTACTCATAGAAATATGCCTGCCTTTGCCTCCTGAGTGGTGAGATTAAAGGCGTGCGCCATCATGTCTAGCTTTTTTTTTTTTAAACTTAATTTACCGTGTGTGTGTGTGTGTGTGTGTGTGTGTGTGTGTGTGCACACATACCACAGTGAGTCAGAGGGAAACTTTCAAGAGTTGGGTGGGTTCCAGAGACTGAACTCGGGTCATCAGGCTTGGCAGCAAGCGCTGAAGTCACTGAGCCATCTTGCTGGCCCCAGGGAGTCTTTGGGGCTAGCTTTTGGCATGGTCCAGGATGAGTGAGCCACCAGATGAGGTGGGAGTTCATGACATTGGTCAGGGTGGGAGTCTGTAGGACTAAGAATCCTTGGTGTAAAGAAGGGTTCTTAGGTAACAGGGAAGGCCTAGTTTAACCCACTGAGGTCATGGTGAACCCTACTTATTGTGTCCTCCAACTGACCAGCTATGAAAGAGTTCAGGACTCTTCTCAGTGGTTTAGAAATGTGTGGAATTACCCCCTTCCTGTGGCCAGCACTCTCCCAGGAGGCCTGGTGACTGTTTCCTCTACCTTGCAGGCTGGCCCAGCTGGATGTGGATAGCCACCTTGCTCAGTGCTTGGCTGAAAGCACAGAAGACATGGTGTGGTGAGCTGCAGGATGCCTCTCCTGTCCCCTCCTTCCGGCACACACACTGACATAGGGATGTGACTGCTGAGATGTGTCTTCGTGTGGACACCTGAGCACAGACTCCTCTGGTTTTGTGCGTGGGCACTGGGCACAATGCTGATCACCGTGGTGCCGACGTCAGTAGGTCCTCTGTGATGGCTCCTTTCTTGTCAACTTAACTGGGTTTGGAAATCACCTAAGAGACAGACCTCAGAGTGTGTCTGTGAAGCTGTTTCCAGAGATTAATTGAGAAAGGAAGACCCCCCTTGAATGTGGGTGGTACCATCCTGTGGCCTGGGGTCTCACTGAATGAAAAGGAGAAACTGAGCTGCTTCCTGACTGGGCATGGGATGTGCTTCTCACCTGTCACCACAGCTACAGCTGCTTTTGCTACTGTAACGTCAGCCGTGAGCCAGAATCCATCTTAAGTTGCTTTGATCAAGTATTCTGTCATAACAGGGAGAACCCCACCCAAGCAGGTGAGCCAGATCTGTGACAAGACAGAACGGGGTATCTCTACCCAAGTCAGCGTTTGTACACAGGCTGGCACCTTCTCCTGACTGCAAGAGTGATATACTGGATTACACTTCACAGACATTAAAAAAAAAAAAAAAAAGGTAATTATATGTATTTGTATGTGTCTGTGTTGGGGGTTTTGTGCATGTGAATGTAATTGCCCACAGAGGCCAGAGGAGGGTGTCAGATTCCCTGGAGCTGTAGTTATAGGCAGCTTTGAACTGCTGGGAACCAAACTTGGGTCCTTTGCAAGACGATGATGTGGAGATGGAGCCCTTGGGAGGTGACAGGTCATGAAGGTGAAGCTTCCTCAAGGGGATTAATGTTATGTACTGAAGGGGCCTTGGGAGACAGGAACCCCAGGACTACTCAGGACATAGCAAAATGCCTGTCCCTAGTGTCCACATGAACCGTCACCAGAACTGTTGGCTCCTTGGTTTCCAGGACTAAGATGGAAGTACGTTATCTACCTAGGCTGGGGAGTGTCTTGGTGGTATAGCATTTGCTCAGCCTGAACCAGCCCCTGGATCTAGCCAGATACTGGGACAGATAGAGCTGACTTGTACAGCGTGTAGAGTCTCTGCAACCTTACCGCTAAGGGGTGGGGCTCAAAGCCATTTCACTGCACACCAAAAGTGGTTCCCAAAGAAGGGAATTTAAGGGAGAGGTAGGGGGCATATCTTCTCATCCACATGTTCTGGCTGACACGTAAGTGAAAATGTTGTTTTCTTCTGGATAGTAAGCTCCAATACCTGCTTGGACCTATTTTGTGTTTTGAACTGTGTGGCTGAGGACAACTTGATTTTCCCACCACTGCCTTCCAAGTGCTGGGATTACAATATCCATTATTAAGCTCATTTGCACCTGACATTCTTGTGGACAGAAACAAGTGTTGGCCTGTGGTTGGGGACAGGCATGGTTTGAAAGCCTGAGACAACCAGAAAATCTGTATTTTCCTTTGAAAAATGGTTTCAATGAGTTGGGTATGGTGCGCACATCTGGAATCTCAACACTTGGCAGGTGAAGGATTAGTAGTTCATGCCCAGCCTCTCCTACATATTGAATTCAAGGCCAACCTGGGCTACAAGAGACCCTGTCTCAAAAACAAACAGGAAGGGTTTCATATAAATCATAAAAACACATGAAGGGGGCCACAGTACAGTGTCGTGGTTGGTGAGGACTCACCTGATAGGTGTAAGGCCTGCATGCAATGTCCAGCAGCCCTTCAAAAAAGTCAAACTACCCCAAACTAACTCTGTCGCCAGATGAAAAGGCTACATTAGGGCTCTCCTAGAGGAGAGTCAAGAGATACGTATAGACAGATGAGAGAGGAACCCTGGTCACAGGGGCTGAAAAGTCTTTCATAGGTTGCCTGCACGTTAGAGCTCCTGGGCTGCTGGTAGCTGACTCCATCTAAGGCAAAAGCCCCAGAACCAGGGACACCAAAGGTGATGGTCTCAGTCAGAGGGTCAGGAGTGTGTCCCCGGGAACAGGGGGAAAGATAAAACCTGGAGCTCTGATGTGAGTGAATAGATGACATCTCCTGAGGGGAACTCTTCTTACCTGGTCCAGTGAGACTCAACACCTGTCTTTGAAAACACCCTCACAATGCCCCAAAATTCTGTTCTTCCAGGTGTCCAGAAATCCCTAATCTAGTCAGGCTGGTACTGTCCTAACTGCAATCCCAAAGCTATCACCTGAGAGAGCACAGAGCTGGGGAGAGCCAGGAGTGTGTGGCAGTGGAGTCTGACACAATAGTGGTACGTCTGTCCAAACCCATCAAACATATCAGGAGGAAAGAGGGCATGTTACGGGAATCTTCGGTCATGAGGACAGACTCATTTCATGGGGACGGTGACAGTGGCAGTGAATACGTGGGACACTACTGCTTTGTGTTGTGAGCCTAAATATATTCTAGGAAGGGACTCTTAGGAAAATGGAATAAAACCCTTTGTTTTCTCCAAATATCTACTTCAAACACAGTAACAATAAGGGCATTTTCATCAAAGTCTTTAATAGATGTGCAAGAATACGAACGACCTTGGCCGTGGAGGGCGAGAACATCGTCCACAGAAGGAACGCCGGCCAGCGATGGGCTCCACTGATCAATTGTACAAAACCACATGGTTATGGCTACTGCTTTACAATCATGAAAGTCACCAGTGTTCGTGAACCATTTTCAAAAGACACACGCTATCTTGCCTGGAGCCGTTTGCAAAACGTTAAGGTATTTCCCACCCACCCACCCCAAGTCACATTTCATTACATCCTTCACTTTCTTTAATTTATAAAACAAATTACTATATATAAAAATCTCCCCTTCTGGTGGGCACAATGTTATTCACACATTTGTACATGAGCAGCCGAACCAGTAACCAGCAAGTCATTTGGCAATAGGGCAGTATCCAAATAAACAACCCCATTTCTAACAAACCAAGGGCCCCTGTGCTGTTTGGGCAAAGGAGTTGTTGCTGTCCCTAGGCAGCACACTGGGAGGAAAGGAGCTTGCAGGAGCCGGTTTGCTCTTGGACCATTTGCGGGCTCTTCATTTTAGCATTTTGGCTCATAGGCAGGTGTGACTGCACAGCCCTCAGACTGGGGCTCCAGCCACCTGGACATCCCCAGGCTGGGCTGGACACCCCTAGGAGGCCCAAAAAATTGGCTCTTAGGCTCTTTGCATTTTTTTTTTGAGCAGTTGCTGGGGACAAGTCTTACTGATGGACACTGGGAGTGCTGGTTGAAATGTGTCCATGTTCAATAGGAGTTACAGAGCCACCCAGAAGCCTGGATTTGGGGTATGATGTCAGAAGCCTGGGTTGCCTGTTCTGTCCCAGCACCGTGGACCTGGGTGTGGCTCTGATGTGTTCAGTGCCAGACATGGCAATGGCCTGAGAAACCTGAGTGTATTGGGGTGAGGGCTGCGGGCGGCCACAGGGCAGCACGGCAACAGCGCCTCTAACTTTTCATTTTCTCTAACTTCGAAATGTGACAGGGCCACCAGCCCCGAGGCATGAAGCAGCTGTGACCGGAGGCTGGACTCCACCCTGCCTCACATGGAGACCCGAGGCCTCATTCCGGCAGGGTTGGGGGCATGTAGCACGTTTGCTACATTGGCCAGCCTGGCTTGAGTGGAGCTGGGGTGCTCAGTCACTGCAGTGCAGCTGTCTCCCGCACTACCAAAGGGCTGAAATGATGGCTCCTGCCACACCTGACCTGCTAAGGACTTAGCTAACCTCTTTCCAGGAAACCTTGGGTTGGCTTCCCGAACTGCCTCTAATCTAAGGAGGAGGAGGATGGCTGAGCACAACAGTTATGGAAGCAGACTTGCTTCCTCAGGAAGAGTACAGGATTATGGGTATTCTGTCGCTTTAAGGCTAGGGTCCATCACACACGTGTCTTTAAATTTTCTAATCTGGAGTATTAGTGATAAAAATATTTTCCAAAAATCTAATGTATAACACAAGACATCTTGGAGGCACTGGCTAGTGTTTTCAGAAATATATTTTGTGCGGATTTAGTTTTCAATTATTTTTCCCTTTTTATTTATTTACCTATTTATTTGGTTTACTGGTGCTTTGGTGAGCAATGTTTTAGAATCTCTATAATCCAGTTTCCCCCATCAGAGTCCAAAGGGCTGGTGGGAACAGCGCCACCAACTTAGCCAGGATGTCACTTCAGCCTTGGACTACCATGGCTAGCTGCACTAGGTATGAAAATACTTGTTAAATATTAACAACAGAACTTACCGGGATTTAGAAAACGTTCCGAATCTGTAACAATTCTTGTTGCAGTGCATCCCTGCAGGCACTTGGGTGCCCGTCCCCTGCCTACGTTCTGCCTGCTCAGAAAACGCAGCTCCTCCTCACGTGGGGGCTGCGTTGGGGACGTCAGGCGGGTGCCACTCAGAAAAAAGGCATCAGAGGAAGCTTCGACATCATCGGTACATTTTATTCCTCAGGGCATTACACGCTAACTTTCCTGGAGCGGGTCAGTGCATCGAGTTCTGTTTCTGTGGAAAATGTGCACCTTCAAAACGGCGTTGACTGTCTCGCCCTCTGGTCGGGCTGCCATGGGCACAGGAAGCGATTCCTCCAGCACAAAGCCAGCCTCTGGGGTCTGGACACAAGAGACTGCTCTGTCCAGAAGTGCCTGTTGGATGCCCCTCTGCGGTCTCGGTGGCCAGCATCCCTCCTTGGCTGCTCAGAGCCTCGTGCCCAGCCTGGCATGCATATGCTGTGGTTAAGGGTAAAGTGACAGGGTCATTCACAGGCGTGTCCACAACAGAGACGCTCGTGGCCTCACACGGACTCCTCAGCAGAGAGCAGAAGCGGGTTGATGTACTCAAAGCCTTCAAACTCAGACTGGTCAATCCTCTTTATGACGTCCCTAGAAGCATAGGAATGGGGTGAAGAGTGGTAGCTGTGTTCCTCCCTCAGGCACCATCCTTCCCACCAGCCCACACCGCAGAAGTAGGGACCCAGACATGAAACCATGCACCAGTCTAGACACAGGCTGCCTGCGGAGCTGGGCTACTCAGGACATGTTTCATTGTGACATTTGTGGGGGCAGGTCAGGGTGTCTTGAGCCTTGCAGTGTCCTGCCCAGAACTTACTCGTCATCTGGAGTCAGCTGCACGGGCTCGCTGGTGAACTGTGTATCAAAGTTGTCCAGGCCATAGTCATCTGTGATCTGGGGCTGGAAGGGAGGCAGGGCCTGCTTCTTTTCCAGCTGAGAATATTGACAAGGGAGTGTCAGATGGGTGTTGAGCATCCCCTCTGCCCGCTTCAGTTCTTTGTATGCACATAAATCACAAAATAAAATGGGAAGCTCAGCTTTTCAACATGCCTGGTATTTGAATGCCATTTTTTTTTTCTTCCCCTTAAAGCACAGAATCTAGGAGAAAATATCCAATGCCAGGAAAAGTCTACTTCAGTTAAAAAGTGATGGATGTACAGGCCCTGGAGACCTGTGCCTGGGGAAACAATGTCACTGCCAGTGGCTGGACACTTTTTCCTTTCTTTCCTTTTTTCTGCACACCCCCCCCCCCCCCCCCCCCCCCCCCGTCTCAGAACCTGATCATAATTGTAGTTGGGCTTGACAACACCCCCACCTAGATGAGCACTGGAGAACCCATCTTCAGTCCTCTCTCGACCCTGAAGTGTCAGCTCCATCTTTTCCTATTTAGAGGTGCACCCTCTAGTCCAGCAGGGAATGCATGTGCAAAGAATCCCTGCTCACACCTACACCCATTCATGCTTGGTAACATGGCTGCATTCTAGGCATCTAGATGTGACATGGACCTCTGTGAATTCAAGACCTGGTCTAGATGGCCAGTTCAGGCCAGCCAGAGATACAATGCATAAAATGGCATAAACTTACGGGTTTCATTATGAGCTTTTCATACATTTACATTATTATGCTTTGTTCATATTCAGTCCCCATTGCCCTCCTTTCTAACCCTTGCTCCAAGCATTTTGCTGCTGTTATAACCGTTCTGGGCTCCAACAAAGAGAGGGGCGTGGTGTGTCGAGATGGATTGGTTATGTATAATATAGCTGTTCAGCTAGGTGGTGGTGGCGCACGCCTTTTAATTGCAGCACTTGGGAGGCAGAGGCAGGCAGATCTCTGTGAGTTTGGCCAGCCTGGTCTACAGAGCAAGTTCCAGGGCAGCCAAGGATACACAGAGAAACACACACACACACACACACACACACACACACACACACACATACATATAAAATACAGCTGTTTTTCATCAAGCAGGGCCCTTAGGCCACACTTAGGGCATTTCTGAGCTTCAGTGCCCAGGGTGAGAGAACCTTCTTTCCAGCATTCACTCAGCTCTTCCAGGGAAGATGGGTGACAACTGGTCTCAGAACAATGTACAGATCTGTCCCAAGAGCCACAGTGCTCTACATGAGCTAGGGATGCAGGCCCTGAAGAGACACCGCATGGGTCTGCACTTAAACTCACATATGGCCGCCACAGGAGCTGATGTGTAACCCTTCCCCCCGTCTATCCAACGATGGCTCTGTGGCAGGGTCAGTGTCTGGGTTATGGCTGCCTCTCAATGTTCTTAGAAACAAACCTAATCCTACAGAGTACAACATACAAGGGTGAATGAGTGAGTGAGCTAGTGAATGAGGAAATGAATGAAGAAGGTGTGAAGAGTGGGTGGATTCATGAATGAGTAAGAGAATAAGAGCAAGTAAGGGTCCCAGCCTGCTAGTACAACAGAAGACCTAAGACTGGGTAACCAAGAGGACCAGAAGCTTGTCCTTGTGTTCTGGGGGTGACTCTTTACCTGCAGCACTGCCTTTCAGGCTCCTAACTGGCCCAGACCTAACCACTCCCACACCCCAGCAGTTCCCAGCAGAGTTTTAGGGACATACTTAGCTGTCTAGAACACAATTGGCTGTGTTACCAAGCATGAATGGGGGTGAGTGTGGGAATGAAGGAGGACTCCTTGCCACATGCATCGTGGTGCCATGTGGTGACACTAGAGTCCCTTCTGACTGCTGCGTATTCCCTGCTGGGTTAGAGGGTCCACTTCTAAATAGTAAAAGTTGGAGATGGCAGCACCAAGCCAGGCAGCCTCTGGAGTAACTCCAGAGCTCAGTGAGTCTGCTCGGTATACACTACCAGCACAGAGGGACAACTGGGAGTCAGTTCCCAGCATGGCTGTGGGTGAGGAGATTAGCAGAGAGAAGATGGATAGCACTGACTTCTGGCTCTTGGTATCCACACAAAGAAATGCCCCAAAGGCCAGGGTGCTGTTGCCACTTTCGCCTTCTGAAGTCTGGCCTACGAAGGCTGGTCCTGGGCAGTAAGGGTAGGTGGTCCTTTCAGACTCAAGGGCGGGGAGGTGTGCCTGGGGCTAGTAGCTGTTGGAACCCCATTTCTGATGCCTCCACCTGGCCATGGTTCCCACAACTGCTTGTCTGCCTCTGGAGCCACATGCATGGGCCTTCTGAGTGTGGCCCTTTATCTGGTCCTGTATTTTCCTTTCTTTTCTCTCCTGGCCACAGGCACATGCCACGACCAAGGACTCGTCCTTTCCTTTTTCTGTGGTAGGTTGCCTGGGAAACCAAAGGGTTTTGTGACAGTCTGTCCTCCTACTTGCTTTCCTCTCTGGAGTCTTTCTTCTAGAAGCCTTGAACCTATAAACTTTATAAAAAATTACATTTATTTATCTGTGTGTGCATGAGTGGGTGGGTATGCACGAGCCATGGCACATGTGTGGAGGTCAGAGGACAACATCTCACCACAGGCATCCTGGAAATCCAACCCAGGCTGTCAGCTTGGTGGCAAGTACCCTTACCCACTGATTGGTCTAGGTCTATTTAATTTGCCTGACCCGGGGCAGGAGCAGAGGCCATCAACTTCCTGTCAGCTCTCACTGGTCAGTCTTGCTGATGTCAAGGGAGTTTATTTTAGCCACAGTCTGACTCACTCCTCAGGGTGGCCTTGCCATGGCACCTGCCAGCAGCCTGGAACACAGCAGGTTTAATGGCAGATGGTAACAATGCCCAGATGGCCACTTCAGCTCTCTCTAGTTCATGATGGGTCAGGGATTGGGAACGTTGGAAAAATCTGACATGCTGTCAAACCATGTCTGATGGAGCACCCTTGTGGACAGACCCTTGTGGTAAGCAGCCCTAGCCAAACTTCCGGAGGGAGCCAGGACTTTGCTGTACGGACCCATTTCTTTCAGAATCAATTTACTGACCAGTCACAACTCTGCCTGGGACTGTGTCCAACAACTTTCCTATGGCCTTTATGCCAATATCCAAACTTTCTGGTGGAGACTGGGCAGCAAAGGATGTGCCGGATGGCCCATGGTGGATTTTGTGTGCTCAGTGGAGCATATACTCCTATCCTGACACCCCAGAGGAGGGGCAGGAGGACTGGCCCCACAGGCCATCCCGGTGCCCCTAGAGACAGCTGGCATGTGGATCCCTTCTGACTCTACTCTTTCTCTGGAGCAGTGGAGAGGGATGGAAGAGGAGCCTATGTCTAAGGCCCAGGGAGGACCCTGAGCACCAAGCTCTGGGGTGGCCTTTGGTGTGAGTTTAGAGAGTAGAGGCTAAAAGGATCTGGTAGCACAAGGTCACTACCAGGGATGGTGTGCCATGCAGACAGTAGTTCTCAGATCAGCCACTGGGATGGGCAGAAGAGGGTCTCATTTGTGTCTCTAGTCCCTTACATTCATCAAGACCATCCTAGTGGATTTGTCTGAAGCGGAAACCCAGGAATCAGGTTGAACCTCCCTCCCCACATCTGTAAGGGCAGCCAATGTTATGCCGGCTTGAGCTCATCATGATTCCCTCTGCCCCATGACACTCGGGATGGAGGATGGTCCTGGGGGACATCAGAACAGAATGTGCCATAGGAACAGTGCTAGTTGAGGGAGGAGGTAGGTGTGGTGGGCTGGTTCCTGACAGTCTACCCGCCTACTTACAGGGCCTTCGCCTCACAAATAAGCCATTCCAGAGCCCAGAGTCTCAAGTTACAGCAGGAGTTTGGCTGTCATTTCTGTCTCTCAAAGCCCAAGCCCACAAGGGAAAAAAAAAGGAGCGGGGGGGGGGGGGGGGGGGGGGGGGGGGGGAATCAGAGATAAGCCTGGCCCCCTCTTGCTCCAAACATACAACACACAGTAGTACCATACTGCCTATAATCCCTGAATGAGACCCATGTCAGCTGGCTTTGTACAAATCTTTAAAGAGCAGCACAGGTGGCCTCAGGCCCAAGAATGTGGACACACCAGTCACCACCATGGCTGCACTGGTGGTGTTGACAGGAGCAGAGCTGGCTCAGCTGGGGGAAGGGCTGGAATTAGTAGCCTCTCCGGTGCTGTCACAGTGGCTCAGGGCAGGGGCCAGCTCCAGTTCCCTTGCTGCCCACATCTATCCTCTTCCTCATGGCACCAGACCTGCACTAGGGACCAGCATCCTGGGTTCCACGGTGACACCTCTGGGCCTGAGCTCCCACCTCAGATGAACAGTCCTGAAGCTGCAATCACTGAAGCTGGTGCTGGGCTGTACGGTCCTAAGGTCCCAAGAAGTCCTGGGGTGCAGCCCCTCAAGAGGCGGGACACCAAGTGACCACCTGAACAGTGGTTCATCTAGAGGAATGTCCCTAAGAAAACGAGACGTGAGTCCCAACAGACAGGCTATGCAAGCTGCCCAACAACCTGAGAACCAGAAGGTGGGCCCCACCCAAGCGACCATCAGTGGGTGAGCGGACAAACACATGGTTCATCTGTGCAAGGCAACTTCAGACAGCCATGTCACATGAATATCACCATGACAAGGACGGTCCTTGAAGATGCTTCACCAAGCAAAGCGGGCCAGAATGCAGGCCAGAATGCAAGACCACCTACTGGATGGGCCTCCTTTCAAGGCAGAATTGCAAGTCAAATTGCAAGACAGAGCACAAATGCGTGTGGCCAGGGAAGGGGATGGTAAGGTGGGTGCGACGACCCATGGCATGAGTCTCCTGGGCTGAGGAGGAAAGGCTCTGTGGTAATGGCTCCAGGCCCACAAGATGTGTGCCATGTGTATGATGCAGAGGAAGACCTCTTCAGCCCCTCTTGCTGCTTAGAACCACTTGGCTGGCCAGCCTAGAGGCAGCTGGACTAAAATTAAACACTATTTATATCATATCCGCTCACTTATAGTGAGGCAAGAGTGACTGGAGATGAGGCCTAGCTGCTACTGATGCCATGTGGGAGCCCAGGGCCAGGGGCAGGGACAGAAGAACAACTCAGATCCTGCAGGCTCAGACGAGGTGGACCCCAGTGAGGCAGGCTCAGAGGAGAAGCCATGAGGAGGGTGGTTGGGACAATGTAGAACTTTCTCTGTACTTCACTCATGGATCTGCTAGATCAATACATGACTCTGTGTCAGATGGGGGTGATGGGTTTCAAAGACTGTGGCAGGCAGTAAGCCTGTGGGTAAAGCTGCCACTATTGGGCCTGGGCTAAGCCAGGTATGGCTGCATTGTGAAGAACAGAGTTAGAAAGAAACCCACTGCTTCTCTCTGATGCTACCAGAGCTAGAAAATGAGATTAAAAGCTGACAAAACTGGGCTGGAGATATGGCTCAGCGGTTAAGAGCACTGCTTGCTCTTCCAAAGGTCCTGAGTTCAATTCCCAGCAACCACATGGTGGCTCACAACCATCTGTAATGAGATCTGGTGCCCTCTTCTGGCCTGCAGGAATATGTACAGATAGAACACTGTGTACATGATAAATAAACCTTAAAAAAAAAACAAAACAAAACAAAAAAAACTGACAAAACTGATTCTTAAGGATCAAGGGCCAGTGAGATGGCTCAGCAGAGAACAGCTCTTGCTGCTGACACTGATGACCTGAGTTTGTTCCTAGACCTGTATGGTGGAAGCCGAGAACTCTCTCTCAGAAGTTGTCCTTTGACCTCCATATGTGCATACACACACACACACACACACACACACACACACACACACACACACACACACACCCCAATGTTAAAAAGTGTCAATATTCTGTATACTGAATAGATATTTACACCTAAACAAGGGAGAGAACAAGAGGTTCTGATTGGGCGGCTCTGGAAGGGCCAGGGGTTGTGGGGCACAGTCTGTCCTGATCACTTGTTGCCCCTGCAGCCTAGCCCCTCCCCATTCTTCACAGTACCCTAGACACAAACAGTCCTGTAAATAAAAAGTGACTGGTTGTGCTGGGTGGTGGTGGCACACATCTTTAATCTCAGCACTCAGGAGGCAGAAGCAGGCGGATCTCTGAGTGTGAGGCCAGCCTGGTCAACAGAGAAAGAGTTCCAGGACAGCCAGGGCTACACAGAGAAACCTTATTTTGAAAAATCAAAAAGAAAAAGTGACTGGTTATATGATAAGATCCTGCTCTTCCCTGGGGATGGGATGTAGACATCAGTGCTGGCTGTGGACCATCTAAAAAGGTCAGGGTAGGGTTGGGGAGGAAGGTGTCCAGTGTCCCCAAGCTGGGCAAGTTCCAGATTTACTCAATGGGCTAAACTTCATATTTTCCTTCAAAAGAATATATATATATATATATATATATATATATATATATATATATATATATATATAGTTTATTTGTTTGTTTTGTTTTTGTTTTTTGAGACAGGGTTTCTCTGTGTAGCTTTGGAGTCTGTCCTGGAACTCAGTCTGTAGACCAGGCTGGCCTCGAACTCACAGAGATCCACCTGTCTCTGCCTCCCAAGAGCTGGAATTAAAGATGTGTGCCACTGCCGCCCAGCTAAAAGAGCATATTTTATAGGTCACATTTCAGTAACTTTCCAATCACTTATTTTGGAATAAGTTATTTTTTTTCTCCTAATATCAGGAATGGACTCCACTCAGAACCTTGAAGCCTGTGCTTACTACCTGCCAGTAACTAGCAGTAGGACAGATACGGTCTGGGCAGCTTTGGAAAACCAACCACACTAAAGAAACTGTCCCTGGGGCCCAGACACCATCTACCAGGAACCCAAGTGCACATGGGCCTACATTCTGCCTATGAGACCAGCCCACCTTATGGAATGGGCACGAGTAACTCTTGAGGCTTACCAGATCCCAGTCTATGCTGCGGAAGAAGGCATGGGACTTGATGTCGGAAAACCCAGTCTGCGGTCGGCAGCCAAGTCTCTCTTTGGGATCCTGGAGGTCAGAGTTCAAATAAGGGTGAGTCAGGACTCCCAAGGAAACCGCTGACTCAGCCTCTACCCAACAGGATGACCCAGCTTTCCCCACTGTCTCCAGCTGCTCTCCTGCTCGTTCAGGGTATAACCTCCCCCTGTTGGGAGCCCTTCCCCAAAGGGTTACTTTCTCACTGTTTGTTATGCTAAGTATCAATAAAAATTAAACTCACTGGGCAGTGGTGGCACAAACTGTTATAGCATTCAGGAGGCAGAGGCAGGCGGATCTCTGTGAGTTCGAGGCCAGCCTGGTTGGTCTACAGAGCCAGTTCTAGGAAAAGTTCTACCAGTTCTAGCCAAGGCTATACAGAGAAACCCTGTCTCAAAACACCAAAACAAAACAAAACAACAAACAACAACAACAACAAAAAAGCAAACTTTGGACTCTCATTCTTTTAGGGCTGGAGAGGTGGCTCAGCAGTTAAGAACACTGACTGCTCTTCCAGAGGACCCAGGTTCAATTCCCAGCACCCATATGACAGCTTACATCTGTCTATAACCCCAATGTCAGGGCACTGGACACTCATGGCAAAACACCACTGTGCATAAAATAAAAATAAATAAATAAAAAAGTCTCCAAAAAAAAAGAAAGAAAAAAAAAAAAAAAAAAAAAGAAACTCACAGAACCCAGAGCCCCAGTGCCAAAGCATATGATCAAACCTGCACAGAGGAGCTGGCAGTCAATGACAAAACCTTCAGCAGAGGGACTCTGCCCACCCACTCCATCCCATGGGTGACTCGATCCCAGAGAGACACAAAAGAGATATTCTGTCACCACAGCCAGAGCATACCTTATTTAAAAATCCTTTCAAGACGTGTGAGGCCTTGACAGACAGGAAGCGGGGGATCCGGATTGGCTTTTCCAGGATAACTGTGCGGACAGGAGCCAGGTGAGAAGACTCCTTGGTAGTGTTTACTCTTTCCAGCAGCCTACAGGGCCCCTGAACTCTGTTCTTTTATTGGGGGGGGGCGCATAATCTTGCTATGTATCCTGCTGGCTTTGAACTCCTGACTTTTTAGGAACCTCCTGGTGACATACAATGGTATATATCACATAACCAGGTATGAACCAACAGCTCCTCATGTGACCTTTTGGTCACAGGCATGTGGAGGCCTCTGCACACCAGTCACCAGAGGGCGCTGAGAGACATAACAGTGGCCATTAACTCTGATGAGGAGTAAGAGGGGAACCTGTCTGGGGATATAGGGAATGCACATGACCAGGCAGAGGGGGGCTCTGGCTAAATCAGGGCAGTCTCTTTCTAGATGACTTATGGTGAACTATGGTCACCTCACTTCACATTCTCTGCCTGAGGAATGGTTCCGCATGTGCTGTATTAGTGCTAAGGCACAAGCCTGGGCAATGCCCCCCATCCTCACCTTCGAGACGGGAAGAAAAGAACACGCAGAGACAAGGAGGGAGTGGATGCACACGGCGGGCCACCAACCTTGGAAAAGGTAGTCTTCGGTGTTCATGTCAGGGTTGTCCGTGATGATATCAAAGGGGGAGCGCCCAGCCATCATCTCAAACATGAGGACGCCCAGCGCCCACCAGTCCACGCTGAACCCTAGGGAAAAGCAGGCAGTCACTAGGCAGGAGGTGGCTGGGAAGCCACCACACTCAGTCCATGAATGTGAATGTGCCAAAGGGAGTCAGCATCCATCTCCCTGGGTGGCTGGACTGCCCTTCACTTACTGTGCTGGGCATGTGTTTCCTTAGAAGCTGTAGAACTGGTGTGTGGCTGTGACTTCTCCAGCTGCATTGTGGGTTACCCAGGCTGTTACCTGGCCCTTCAGCTCTGCTGGGATTGCTATACAAACATGCAGAATGGGTCCAAGAAAGGACCCTGCTTTGTTCTTGTCATCATCATTATTTTATGATGATGATGATGACGATGATGGAGAGGGTCTCACTGGCCTTCAGCTTGTCACCCTCCTGCCTCAGCCTGGTGAGTATATGCCATCATAACTGGCTTTTTTCTTGCTTTCATTTAAAGTTACAAAGCTCCTTTCTCACTGAGGAATGTAGCTCAGTGGTAGAGCACTTTTCTCACACATGCAAAGCTCTAGCTTCAATCCCCAGTGCTGCCCAAACAGTACCAGCCAGAACCCACTTCTCTGAGGTAAGAAAACACTTTTCTATGGTTCCTTCTGCTGCCACTGCTTCCTTTCTTCCTTCCATCCTCCCCCTTTCTTTCTTTCTTCCTTCTTTTTTTATGTTCAAATGCTCAGTTTTTTTAGGCAGCAGGAGGGAAGACCTGCCTTCAGCTCTGTCCTAGAAAGCCTGGCCATCCCTACAGTTCATCTGCTCCATCACACATGGAATCAGGGCCAGTAAGAACCCTGGCTGGTTCTAGACTGATCTCTGGCTCCAACTTGCCATCTTTCCTTCTCTGGTTACTGAACAACTTCAACTGAAGCAGCTTCTAGGAGCCCAGTTACTCTCTTGGGTCAGTGACCCACACACGCTGCTTGTTGCACACTCATTTATGTGAAGGTGTATTTATGACTGGTTTCACTGAAGCCACCATCATGAGTCAGGGATAAATAGCACATATCTGTAATCCCACCTGCATGACAGAAAACACTAGGATGCAAAAGTGGGTGTGTGCACAAGCACACACACACAAACATATGTAATAAACTTGTGTGCACAGTAAACAAATGCACACAACACACACACATACTGTGGGATGGTCTGTATGTCAAATGTGTTGCTGATTGGTCAATAAATAAATCACTGATTGGCCCGTGGCCAGGCAGGAAGTATAGGCGGGACAAGGAGGAGAATAGAGCTGGGAAGTGGAAGGTTGAGTCAGGAGACACTGCCAGCCGCCATCAGGATAAGGAAGATGTAAAGTACCGGTAAGCCACAAGCCACGTGGCAAGGTATAGATTAATAGAAATGGATTAATTTAAGCTGTAAGAACAGTTAGCAAGAAGCCTGCCACGGCCATACAGTTTGAAACCAATATAAGTCTCTGTGTTTATTTGATCGGGTTTAAGCGGCTTGGGACTGGTGGGTGAGAGAGATTTGTCCTGACTGTGGGCCAGGCAGGAAAACTCTAGCTACACACACATACACACTCACTACATGCTATATACTCTCCTCCACCACATGGATGTACATGTACCTGTGTACACCACCCCACCCCCACACATGGATGCACATGACTGTTTCCACCTAGAGAAAGAGGAGGAGCAGACATATACTATTGTGTCTACAGGGTTTCCCAGATCACCCTCTGCTTTGGATCCTGATTGAGGCACGGCTACCACTCCCAAGGAGACCTTGTTTCTTCCACATATGCATAGCCAGCAGCCATCAACCTGGGGTGCTGTGACCTGACCCTGGGTCTGTCTGTCTTTGCTTCATGCTCCTCTTCCTCCCCCTCCCCCTTATGACTCCTCAGAGAGGAATGTTCAGGGTTGTCAGGTGAGCCTGAGAAGGTGTGCAAGGGGTAACATGCACCTGGGGGACACCAAGGGATGTCGTGTGTTGTCTTTGGGTGTAATATGGTCACAAATCTCTCCCTGTTTATTGTGCCAGGGCCCTTGCAGGAATTGGTCGGGCAGGTTTGTGCTCTGAGTGAAGATCACCAGGTGGGGGAAGACTTCTGGAAAGTGTCCACCTACACACACTGGCTACGTGCCTTGTACTCACCGTACTCTTCTCCTCGCAGGATTTCAGGGGCAATATAGTTTGGGGTTCCACAGAAAGTGCTTGTTGTATCACCAGGGCCCAGGCCTTCCTGTGGGGACAGAGTGGGGACAGGAGGGTGAATCCCACGGACAGTGGCGCTCCTTAGGAGGTGGGATGGTCACAGGCAGGGGTGCTGCAGCATGGTCACCACTGAGCTGTGCCCAGTCTGCAGGGTGTCAAGGGCAGACAGGCCAGGTGGGGGACAGGTGGGGCAGGCACCTTGCACATGCCATAGTCCGTCAGCTTAATGTGTCCGTCGGCATCAAGTAGGACGTTGTCCAGTTTCAGGTCCCGGTAGATGATCCCTCTCTCATGGAGGAAGTTGAGAGCAATACAGATCTCAGCAGCATAGAACCTGAGGTGGGGGCATTCTGTGGTCAGCAGAGGGGCAGTGGCAGGCAGCCAGGGGCTGGTACACACAGCCCCACAAGGTGTCCTGGTCACCAGGGAAGTGCAAATTTAAATTACAGTGAGAGTTCACCTCCTATGCAACAGAATGACTACTTAACACAGCCAGAGTAAGTGATGAAGACATGGGAAGCTGGAGCCCTGTGTACCACTTGTGGGAAGAAGAAGAAGGAGAAGAGAACTAGGGGCTAGGGAGAGAGTGAGGCCTATCAGTAGAATGAAATATTATCCAACCTTTAAAAGGAAAGGATTTTTGACAGGCTACAGAGTGAATCACAAAGAAGACATCATATCAAATCAAATATATAAAGACAGATAATCCAAGATTCCATTTAGGGAGGTCTCTGGAATCAGAGGGAGGTGCCCAGGGCTGGGGTCAGGAGCCTGGGGAGTCAGCATTCACAGGGTACAGTTCCAGTCTGAGCTATATACTTAAAATGGCTGAAATTAATATTAATATTAACACATTAATTAATTAATATTAACACATTAATACTGTGCATTTTGCCATGAGTGCTATAAAAAGCAAGTAGACAGGCAATAAGTGGTTGCTACTTCTGCCACTTTTCCCCAAAGGGAGCCTAGGTGATGCACAGGACTTCATGGGGGGAAACTAAGATAAATAAGAAGGGGCCATCCAAATTTAAGTCTCCCCAGCCTTCCTGCAAGGCGTGGGCTGCAAGGGAAGCACCAGGATAGTGGGCTGGATGGCAGCTGCTCAGGGCCAGGAGCAGAACCGGGGGATTTTCTCCTGACACTAATAAAGGCCTGCTGTACTCTACCACTGAGGGAGTGTGGAACTTAGAGAGAAAACAAAACAGCCCAGAGAGCCTGCCCTCCTGGGTGAGGGGCTTCTGCTGGAAGTCTGAGGAGGGGCCAGCCCTGGGCACAAAGCTCCTACATTCCCCCAGAGGTTCTGGAATTCCTTACACCACGGCAAAGTCTCATCTTTGCCACCTTCTGCCCAAATCTCACCCCCCTCTTTTCTTGCTGGCCCGAGGAAGGTCCCCAGGCCACACTCTTCGTGGACCTACCTGGCGTGCTCCTCTGGAAGCTTCCTCTGCCTCTGCATGTGGAACATGAGGTCCCCCCCATTGACATATTCTATGACCAGGAACAACCTGGCAGGAGAGAAGGGGAAAGGATCAGGAACTGAAACTGCCCTGAAGCTCGTGATAGGTTCACGCTAGTCAAAGGCACCAGCAATGCGGCCAGAGTGAGTGGAACCTCCACAGAGGGTCACTTTTTAGCAGCAGGCTGAGTCACCTCTGGGTGCTGACCTGCTGCCTCTTAAAGCGAATCATACACGCCTAAAACAAGGATGTGACAGGCCACCTGGGAGCTCTGGGGCCAGTAGGAAAAAACTCAAGGTGAACGGGAGGCGGAGGCTGAGTTTGGCATTTGGATTGGTGAGGCCTGAGGCATGGTTTCAGATCCTGACATTTGGCGTCCAAGAACATGCTGGATAATAGATGTGGCTTTTATCGCATGATACCAAGGTAGGACACTGTTTTTAGAAAAGAAGAAATACACTCAGGTGTTCACTTGCCTATCATTTTGTCTCTTGTGTTCCTGTCAGAGTCCAGCTCCAACTTGTGGAAGGGTTCTTGAGGGGAGGAGAGAGGAATGAGGAGTATTATATAGAAAGATAGACAGAGACACAAGATAGCTTCAGGAAGGCCCTGGGTCAATACCCAGTGCCTTGAGATTTTATTCTACTGGGCCTTTTATATACTACCAAGGAGAGAGGCAAAAGACCCCCCCCCCCTTCAAGATCAAAGCACAATGTACAGCCAAGTGCAGACCCTTCAAAATACCTGGTAACCATGCCCATGGCCAAATCATCCCATTATGCAGCCCTGCTGGGTAAAGCAAGCCCAGATTCTCTGACCCTGAGTAAGGTTTTACTAGGAAGCCTCTGGGGGCTTCCACATGTTCCCAATGGTGCTAGGTCTGTTTTAGGGTGAGTGTGTGTACACACGTACACACGTACACACGTACACACACACACACACACACACACACACACACACACACACACACACACACACATCAGAGAGATGGTGTTGGAGGCCCTAGGATAGGTGAACAAGTAACCAAAGAAGGGTCAGAGGACTAATGGAGCACAGGGAAAGGGGAGAACAGGCTGTGGGCCATCCTGGAGGTGGAGCAAGTCTGGCTCAGACGGACTCGGAGAGGATCCATGGGGCAGGTGCGGAAACATATCAGGAGACATGGTTTAGGGGTGGGCTGCTCTAGTCTCTGTATGTGGATGGACCTCAGGAAAGTGCAAAAGGGCAGGCCCAGGAAACACACAGGTGCCTGTCTACCTGGTGAGAGAGGGTCAACGGGGATCAGTGAAGAGATGAGGAGGAGCCAGGCTGAACTGGATGGATCTGCCAGTAGCTGGACATAGGGAAGAGGGATAAGAATGGGGGTAGCCTGGCTGCTGGAGCTGAGGTACTGACACTCCAGTGTGGGGACAGCATAGTAGGTCCAGAGGGAGATGGTCATGATGCAGTGAGTCTGAGATACCACCAGCCCAGCAGGTGGGTAAGGGGAAGGGCAGCAGGGGTCAGGCAGAGGTCAAGTCTCTTTGAGTTTAGGAACTGGGATCTAGCACACAGCCCTCATGTCTCCTAACACTGGCCATGTGTTTTCTTTCACTAATAAGATCTTTGCTGCATTTAATAAGACTTAATTTTCAAAATTCAATTCACAATAATTTCCCGAGATGCCCCATTGAGGGCACCTTGGGGACATCTGGGTTGGCAGCATTTGCCTGGATTGTTTATCTGCAGTTTGCTGGCCACGGTTTTTCTGCCTACCAGCAGAGGGTGGGAGCCAGCAAACCCTTCATCTCCTGGCCCCTGTAAGAGCTCTCAGCACATGGGACTGAATGTACCTCACTGGCTAACTGAATCCACTGTGGGGAGATGTCTGCATTTGGCCTCCAAAGCTCTGGCAAGAAGCCAGAGAAGACAGGAAATACTGTCATAGCAAGTCAACTGGCTGTAAGCTACTCACTAAATTCAAATTACATGTTTAGATGAGAAACAATTCCTAATATGTGGAAATCAAAACAAAAGCTCCCAGCACCAGATGAGGAGCTATGTATTTCCCCTAGGCAGCCAGCCCCAGGTGTCCTGATCCCGAAGAAAATTCTAGTGTGCTTGTGTGAGGGCTGAGGATACCACCTTCCTCCAATCTTAATCATTGTCGCTCAAGGTTTGTATATAAAATGGACCTTCTGCTATAGTGTGAATCACATCTGGATTGCTCACATTACTCAACACAATGAGAAAACTGCAAATTGTTACCTTGTATTGCTAAGGAATAACAAGGAAAGTCAGAACCTGAGCCTGGGGTACAGTTCAGTGGCAGAGAGCTTGCCTTTGCATGTGTGGGGCCATAGCTCCACCCTCAGCACCACACATGCCAGTACATGTTCAGTACAGACAGAAGCTCCCCACAAGGACTTTTGACACACCCAGGTTGAAGCTGCAGAGGAGAACCAGCAGTACAAGGCAGAACCGGTGCACACCAACTATGAATCACCTGTGGCGGCTTTTGTTATTGTTCCACAAAAACAAAGGCGTTTGCCCTCTGGCCCTTAGAGAGGCAGCCTCCCTGGCGCAGACAAGCAGAGCACTCACCCCTGGGCTGCAATGCGCTCTAAGCTCTAAGTACCTCCAAGTGCCACTCACATAATGATCATGGCGCCCTGGGAGGTGGGTTCGTGACTCTTATCAGACTCCACAAGACGTCTAACATCTCAGAATCAGTCCCAGGGATCTCTTCCAGACTCTCTGGGCGACTACAAAGCCCAGCACGGATGTTTTTCCACCTACCAAGAATCACAAACTCAAGGGGTCCTGCCATCAGGGAGGGTCGAGCCTTTCCTCGGGTGCCCAGTAGTGGGCACTGGTGAAAACAGCGTCCCACACCAGGGAGGGACTTCGGTCACTTCCAGAAAACGTAGCAGACGTCCTAGCCTGGAGGGTGTTAAGCCCCACAAAAGCAGAAAGGTAGCATCTCTGTCTAGAGAGGCCATTTCTGTACCGGGGCTGTTTCTCTTCCTGCTCTCCCTCCCTCGAGGGTCTCACAACACAAACCAGGATGCTCTCGAAGTTTTCATCCTCCAGCCATGGCCTCCTGGGATTACAGGTGTGCGCCATTATGTCTAACTTCCTTTCATTTATTTTGTGGGGTGTGTGTGGTATTTCTAGGGGTGTACTGGCACATCATGCATGTGAAGCTCAGGGAACAACTTTCAGGAGTCAGTTCTCTCCTTCCACCTAGTCAGGCTGTCAGAAGTAAGGCAGGTGCCTTTACCCCTAAACCATCTTGCTGCTCCCCCCCACTTTCTTTCTGTTTCTGTTATAAAATCAGCTGTGAAACTAAGGATTTGTGGTGGGGGGGGAGGGTTCTACAGACAAAACCTCAGTACTGTTTTCAATGCTTTTTTCAAAACAGAAATCCCCCAGGAGCACCGTGTGGACTGGCCTGTAGGCAACTGGGTTGGTTTGGGTGTTTGTGGCTGTGAAAATACGAGATCCTATCCGCTCCTGCAGTTTGCTCTGTGTGCTTGGCAGGTACTTCCCACACCAAGTTTCTTAGCCTCAAATTCTGTCTCGGGCCACGGCTATGTTTCTCAGCCAGGTTGAAGCCAACACACAGACTTTATGCACAGGTGTCTGTGCATCAGACAATAAGCACCGGCCACTGTCCACAGTCCCTTTGGTCACACAGCCATACCAACCCCCAGGGGAGACTTATTAGGACGGGCAGGGGCCTGTTGAGGGCAGTCAGATTCCTAATGCTTTTAAGGCCAGACCACTGTAGGAAGGAAGCAGCTAATGGCTCAGATGGTGGATATTATCACTTATTCTTAACAAAATGTGCAGAAGTTACTAAAAACCAGTAGAAATGGATCCATCCGCACAAACAAAGGGAGAAAGGGCATAAGGAGAAGCAGTGAGCTCCAGGATGCAGAGCCAGAGAAAGCTGTAGGTAGTAGCCAAGTCCACTGCTCCCCTCACCAGGAGAGGACTCAGAGAAAGAGGAACCCTGTAAGGCCCACTTCCCCTGCTCCCCAGCAACATAGGTGCCCAGCCCTGACCTTGGCCTAGAGAGAAGACGGATGGGATGGCCAATCAAGAAGTGACTGGCTGGCTCTTTACTGCCTTGTGTTTTATTTGAACACAGCCATGCATATTTTCCTTTGCTTTTTTTTTTTCTTTTAGTGGTAGGGTGGGGCTTAATGTGGCCCAGGCAGGTCTTGAACTTTTGATCTTCTACGTCTGCCTCCAGAGTGGGATTACAAGTACATACTGGCATGCCCCGCCATGCCATTTATTACATTTGTCTGTGGCTTTTGTGCCACAGTGAAGACTATACAGCAGAGAAAGTGAAGTCAGTCAAGAGCCAAAGCTGTCCCCGAGCGACACCACAGCCTAGTCTGTATAAGCTATGATAATCAGGAACACACTTGTCTAATGACAAGTTCTCAGATCACATCCCTGCTGTCAAGACACTGTGCTACATTGATTATATAGTTATTTGAAAAAGGTTGCCAACTCTTGGTATAAATAGTAACAATGATACAAGTTTTGATGGCTTATACTCTATATAGACCTCATTTATTCCCAAAACTATGAGGTAAATTCTGCCATTTTCCTGATTATATGGAGAGAGACACAAGGCACCAAACAGCCTATTCACGGAGACCTCATTTCAAGGTCCTGTCGCTGATCCCAACAGATGAGCCAAGTAGACGTCAGAGCAACGAGGAGGAGAGGGACGTGAGAGAGTCAGCCTAGAATCTGGTCGGTGTCACAGAGAACAAGAGGCCTAAGAGAACAGAGGCGAGGCTCAACACCAGCCACACTACAGACACAGCCCAGGAGCAGTGCACAGGAAGGAGGAAGAGTTGGACCCCAGTTCCTTGATGCAGAAAAAGCTGTGTTCTAAGAAAGATGTGGACAGACAAGGAAACCTGACACAGCTGATCCAAGAAGAGGATTTTATCTTTTTCAAAGAACCTTCTACCGGGGCGGGGAGGGGGCAAACTGCTTAGACGTCTGCAGGAACAGATGCAGAGCAGGCCATGAAGTAACTG